TTTGTTCAAATCTTAAACCAAATTTTACTCATTGTTCAAAAACTAAAGAGTGTCATAAAAGGAAGGAGGTGGCTTGTGTTGCATTAATTTTTGTAGAATCGTTTTTTATTGCATCTCAAAAGTCTCAGATACTCGTACACAAGAACCCCCCCCCCCCCGCGCTTACTATCAGCTTCTTTAAATAATGCGTCAATCATATCCATGTTTCGAACGTCAAACCATGAGCATCCACAAACTTAATAATTAATTAAAATAAATATTTGATGATTTTTAAAAAGATATATCATTATGAATGAAAAGAAATTAAAAATGTGTATTCAGAATTTCCTCGACGTTCGCAGTTAGTCAATATTGACGCTATGCAAGCGCGTCGTATAAAAAAGGGGAAAATAATATACAAAAGACGTATAAAACATAAAAAAAAAAAACAGCTGCAAATGATAGTAAGTAACAGATTTATACTTACGAAAAAGGATCCAAAGCACTTCGAGGCGTCTGCCATCGTCTTCTTTTCAGGTCGACCGGAAACTAGGCAACTTATTGCCAGACAAACATGAGTCATTTGTAGACCATGAATTTTCGAAATTTTAAATACTGAACTCAAGAATGAATGAAGGGTAAGAAAATATAGGAAATGATTAAACTAAATGGGATATTAATTAAAACTATTCATATATAGCGGATTTTGATTAATATTACACATTTTCTCTGGGCGACTTAATAGATATATATATTCCTATGAAAATATATGCCGGGTTATAAATAATTTAATTATTTCTCGCTATGCGAATAAAAAATGCAGAAATTATAATTGCATTGAAAAAAATAATTACGAAAGAGTCTTATTTCAGGACATCAGTCATCTTACCACAAAGTACACTGCCTTAATGATCAGTTAAAATATTAGGGAGACCGGAAAAAGTCTGCTTAATCCATCGGGGTCCCAGACCGATATATAAATGCTTAACTGGGTTCCCTAACCAAGAAGTCCGGATTATATATATATATATATATATATATATATATATATATATATATATATATATATATATATATATACAGAATTATGTGTCCTAGTGTATTCTACTTCTGTTCTCAGTTATTGAAATCGAACAAAAAACTGTATAAAAAAAAAAAAAAAAAAAAAAACAACAACATGGCAACATCGCTTGCCTAAAATCTAAAAACCGATATACAGAATCATCTATCTTCTACTTTTGTACTAAGTCGCATTGAAATTGGAACAAAACTGTAGGATGAGATGTTTTGGAGAAAAAATCACAGAAATTTCTATTTCTGTTACCATGCCAACACCTTGTGTTGAAATAAAAAAAAAAAAAAAAAGATACTTAAAATAATTTGTCTTAGTATGGTCTATTTGTATAACAAGTCTTACTTTAAATCAGAACAAAACTGTAGGAGGAGTAGTCTTTTAAAAGAATTTCAAAGAAATGACCATGGCAACACCGTTTCTCCAAATCAAAAACCGATGCTTAGAATTATGTTTCTTAGTATGGTGTGTACCAAGTCTTCTTGAAAATGGACCAAATCTTAGCGTAAAGTAGCATTTTGAAAGATAATTTGAGAAAAAAGTCGAAACGGTCCGGGGGTCTATATCGGGGGGAGGGGGGGAGAGAGAGTCCTTCCTCAAGGACCTGTTTTTTTTATGGTAACCAATCTTATTTCTTGATTTCAAAACTGAATGTAAATACATGTATATGTTTTTGCTACAGGCCTTTGGATCGCTTTAAAAAATTGGGGTGTATAAAAAAGATATTTTTTTAACACCTTAATTTTTTAAAGCGATCTAAGGACCTGTGGTTTTTGCTTCAATAATTATGATGTCAGTGTGTTAACTGTGTTGTTGTTCTTTTTAAAAATGAACTGAACACAGATTTATGAATTTAGATACCTTTTAATTAAGGGAGTATGGTACTGACAAGTCCTAATTTCAGAGTAATTAAAACTCTAAAACATCCACATAAAATGAAAGAAGTACCTTTATATATTTCATAAAATATTATAAGAAAAGGTTCTAGTGAGTAAATCTAAAATTATGATGCACTAAAATAAGGGGAGTAACTCTGTATGATAAAGTGATATTTTTATAACCAATTTTTAAAAAATTGAGAACAACAATAAAAACAACATAAATTTTTTTTTTGAAAAAGATGTCATCCACAATATTGAAATTTTAATTTCAAAACAAAATAGTGCAAGAAAAAAGCCAAAAAGACAAATTAATTTTGATTCATTTATATCATGACAATTTATTGGGAAAATGGGTTCATGTATATGTACAACGTATTTTTTAATAATGAAAGAATAATTAAAAGTTTGATATCTTATGCTATATTTATAGTGATTTGCTTGCTTTACAAATTGCTAATAAAAAATTATAATGTTAGTGTGTAGTTTTGGAGAAATGTGCTCCCGAATTTCCTGACCCGAATTTCCTCTGCTCAAAAAGCTGTTATAAAATGTTAAAATAATGAGATTGCAATTTATTTACTTGCTTATAGTTTCTAACTCTCCTGATTTTGTCGTTTTAAACTCAAATTTTTATTATAGTTATTATTTTTCTCTTGTGACACGGCGGGCAATGCTTTTCACCAAATTTTTGCCGAACAATCCGAAAAGCTTCCGATTTCCCGGTTTGGTTTTGTACATTATCGTGTACACGTCACTTCCAGTTTGCAACTCGTACACAAAATGCCGAATCGGAATCAAAGTTGAAAGTGGACTTGGAGGAGGTGTTTACAATTATCTATGAATTGTTTTGAACAAAAAAAAAATAGAATTTGAAACTCCGGCTTATAATTTCTAACGTTTTAGTGGAACGGATGAAATAAAGTGAATTGACGAAGACAGAATGCTCGAGGCTTATTGTACATTCGTTCTAGTATATCTGATATGTCTCCATGTTTAATTTTAATTAATAATAAATCTTTGTCTTGAATGAATATTTTCCATCTTCAGCAATATTGAAAGATTAGATATGATTCAGTAACTATTAATTTACCAGCTATTAAACCCAGGTCCGTAGAATGCGGGGGGGGGGGGGGGGGGTTCTGAGTAAAGTATATTGTTCTAGTAAATTTTCCCTTAGATGCTAGTTGCTCCAATGTCAAGCACTAGCAAATTCCAGGATTTGGATAGTGAAATTAGGTGTTTTTTTAATATTTGCTTGTCAGATTTTTGAGAAATATTGCCCCCTTTTTTTGGTCTTTTTTTCCTTTATCAGATTTTTTTGGGAAGTTGCCCCCCCCCCTTTTTTTGAAATTGTTGCTACAAGTCTGACTAAACCATCATACATGCTGTTGAAGCGAGGGAAAATAGTGACACCACCACAATATACTACACTGTACTTTGCTATGCATGTGTACAATATGGTGTAGAGTAACAGGAATATTTAACAAAATCAGATAAAGTTTTAAGAGGTAAAACCACAAAGTACAAAAATAGTCCTTCACTAAAATAGATGAACTTATGTTTTATAATTTGAAGGGTTTTAAACTATTTATCTTAAATATCTTTTTCTAGTTTTCTTTTTATGGTTAAAATAACCTTTGTTTCTCTAATAATAAGTATCATAAGTTTACAAGTCAAGCAGCAGGCTTGTAGCAACGGTTTCAAAAGTTGGGGGGGGGGGCACCTTCCCCCAAAAAAATCTGTCAAGCAAAAAAAAAACTAAACTCACCAAAAATAGGGGGAGGGGCAACTTTCCAAAATAATCTGATGGGCAAAAAAAAAAACCAAACTAATTAAATGTCCATTTCGTGGAAATTGACAGTGCTTGACCTTGTAGCAATGGGGGGGGGGGGGGGAGGGGGGGCGGCAATCACTATAGCAAACTACTTATACTCGGAAAAAGTAGGTCCCCCAGCATTCTATGGGCTTGAGCAGCTTTGTAATACTGCACCTGACATAACTCTCACACACTGACAGGAGCTTATAAATGAAGATAAAAACTTACAGTACATGATGTGAGGCAGCTTATTACCTCCTCAATGTAACCATATGCATGAGGGACAGGAGATTATTAATACAAGAAAGTTGTAGGAGATTATACACTCATGACATTGGGTCAGATTATGACACAGATTTGAGTCATAAGCAATTTTTGTGTCTAGTATCAACTACCAATTAGCCTCCATTTGAGAGTAATAGACCAGGTACAAATAATAACCTTTTCTGCCAGAAGCCTTGAACTTGCTGGAATGACCTTGAGTCAAGGTCAGTTACTCAATACACACATGTAACCTTAGGTTATATGCAATATTTATGATCAGTATGAGCATCTCATGTTCTCCATACAAAATACAGGAATTCAATGTTATTCTTAAAATGACATTTAACTTGATAAAAGGATCTTGAGTCAAGGTCATGGCATGCATTTGGGTCATTAGCAGTCCTTGTGTGCCATTTTCATCATTTTTCCAATGGAAAACCTTGTTAAAAATAAGGAAGATGAATTTCCCAGGTTCTACTCTTTTTTTTAACATGCAGTGTATTTAGCATCTGTTCATACAATGATATGGTAATGAAATAATTTTTATAATGAAACGTATTTAATATTGCAAAATTCATGAGAATCAAAATACATTAACATATTGAAAACTTATTTGCTCTATCTACAATTAAAAAAAAAAGAAAAATAATTTGTAATTTGACCAAACTTAAATTAATGAAAACTTATTACATTTAGTACCAAACACTGACATTGTATCTAAAAATGATGCTACAGACATGGCAAATTCTGATAACACCAATAATGTATCCACAACTGATGTCATGGACATTTCAAACAGACTGAAGATATATGACTCTTTTCATATAAAACTCTGGGGTCTTTCAACTGAAAAAGTTCTGAGATAGAATCCACTTTACTTTTTATAACGAGTCACACACAGTTTTCAATTCATTTCTTCCATCAATAACTCCATATCGAATTTGTTGATAATGCCAGTTTTAAACTGCATTCGATAATAATGGGACATCATAGGAAATGGTAGTGTATCCAGTGACTACACTTTTCTTGTCGTTACTCAAAACTTTAGTCTAATTCTGATTGTTACAAGAGAAACTTCTATGTTCACTTGTTATTGTACACCTTCATTCCATTTATTTTTAGACCTGTAATTTTGTCTGCCTGTTTATTGATTGTTCTTTGTGGAAAAAGTTGAAAACTTTTCTCGTCTCATTGCTGATATGATCATGATGTTCCCGCTCTCTGTAAGAAACAATAATCTTGTTTTAGTTATTAGTTCAGGTGATAAAATAATTTTCATTTTAATAACAATCAAATGATCTTGTCCACCTGATCTAGTCAATACAGGCTTACAGAATGGCTGTGTGTGTTGGGGGGGGGGGGGGGGTCTGTCCTCCTAACTTTTTCTGAGAATAGTATTTGGCTATAGAGTAAATTTTCATTAAGATGTTGGTTGCACACACACACCCCCCTTTTCTTTTTTACTAGAGGTCTGCATCAATAAACTTGTTACATGTATATGGGCAGTTAGTGATTTCACATACCTAAACCTGTTGGCTTTATTTCAAACATGAAATGTTTAATAAGTTAATAACTATGAAACATACAAGTTGTATGTCCCTATGGTACTATCACCAAGATTTTTGAGTTGTCATGGGTGATAATTCTGAAAAAGATGACCAAGGCTCTGAATAAATTTTACGTTCTTTATTGTTGAGTTTCCAGCAAAAAGTGACGCGCTGGGCACTCGAAACAAAAATCGGCCTGGTCAAGGTAGGGCTCCCCAGAGGGATAATCATAAAAACCACACAGGTAAACAAAGATACATATACCCAAATTTCCTCTCGAGGGCCTCTTGAAGAAAACAAACTTAAAAGAGCAGTTTGGACAAAGGATCCTAATCCAATGACATGACACTAATTGAGTCGAGTGGACATCAAAAGAATCACTTAATTGAATTGCATGGCTTTGCGTAAAAGTTATTTGTTGATAAATAAAATGGAATTTCACCTTGCCTAAAAATGTGTGATTATTTACAAAACTTCTTAACTTTATGGCTTGGGGATAAAATAAGTGTAAATGGTTCTTTGCAAAAATGAAGAAAGGATTAAATGAGGAAAGTTCTGTAAGATGTCAAATGGAAATAAAATATTCATAATAAAAAAAGTACAAATTATTCAAAATATTAAATTAAATTTATTCTAAAAATATATCAAAGGGTCAATGAGACCTGATGATAGTACTATAAATAAACAATAATTAAGTATGTTTGTATTTATGTATAATTCATAATATTTAATGTCAAACCTAATATACCAGTTAGTATTCATCAAACAGTTACAATTCTTGCATATGGTTAGTGATGGGAAATTGGGATTTTTTCATAATTGATTATTGGAATAATGGGATGCACTATAATCGAAAAAAAAATTGATTAATTTCAAATATTATATTTCTTCAATTTCAAATGTAGAATAAATTGTTTAGAAATTCTGGAGTGATTTCCAAAATACATTTTTGAAATAATTTGTATCATTGGGTTCATTTATTAGATTATTATTTAGGATTTAGTTAAAAATTCAAAGAAGAATGAATCAAAAATCAAAGGAATAATTTGCTTTTAACTAATATTTTGAGTAATCGATTATCTATAATCGGGAACCATTTTGATTAGATAATTGATTTAATCGATTAATCGTTACATCACTACATATGGTACTTTAAACTTTATCTAAAACTTGTCATGGGTATCAAATATGATATACATGTATTTGTCTAAAAGTGACACATAGGTCTAATTGACTGATTACATGTATTTTTATGTTTTTCTTCATACTGTAATATATCACTTCATGTATAAAATACAATTTACTTGCTTACTAATTGTGAAATCTAGCCAATTATCAAAGATAATAATCTAGTTAGTAAAACCAAGAAAAATGATTGGTTAAACCTGCTTTGTTTCCACTTTTATCATGTTCATGCTGGAAAAATTTAGAGTACCAGTTGGTACTGGTAGGCATATTTTTAATTTTTTTTTTTTGCGTGGACTTTTTAAAATAAAACAACCAAGTAACACTGATGTCCAGTCTATGCGAAAGTTTTTTGGACCACACAGGACATTGGGTCCTTTGTAATCAATGAACACACAGGACTGAATCAATTTTTGTTGGACCAAAAAACCTAATGTAAAAAAGTGAAACACGTGAAAATGCAGAGTAGTAAGCCTAACACCTTTTCTTTTACAAGGGATTGCTCCCGCATAGTACTGTAGATGGTCCATACAGTTTTAATCACCTTCATTTACGTATTTGGATTTGTGAGAAATTTTTTACTTATAACAAACATTTACATGACTCCCCATCAAAATAATAATGCTCAAAACTGGACATAGACACATCGGACATTCTGGTCCGGTGTAAAAAATGACGCATCGGACCAGAGGCACTGCACATCGGTCAGGTCTGACAGTCCGATGTCTTTTGCATAGACTGGATGTCAAAGAAATAGTGTTTTATTTATGGTGGAAATTTTTTATACATGCTATTATTGGGGAATTTAAAATGAATATTCATATTTTTCTTGAAAAAGCATTTTGAAAAATTAGGGTCAGCTACAAAATAGGGTGGGTTCACTGGGTTGTGAAAGTGGAAACAATTTTGCCTAACAACACCACAGCCTAACATTTTGACAAATGTAAATGTACCTTAATGATAGCTGATGATCCATAAGTTAGGATATCCACAGCATGAAAGAGCTGCTGAAATGGCATGGACATTTTAGAGCATCTGTCATATCACTCCCAGTTCCATAACCCTCCTTCCAAGTTTCCAGATAGCAGATATTAAGGGTTCCAGATCCTGTTCCATCTCAACTTCATGTTCAATGTCCACAATATTAGGGATACCTACATGTATTCAAATAATATACATGTACTACTAAATCTATAAAGCTGAGATTTCTTCCCTATCACTGCATATATGTAAATGTAGATGCAGTATATACAAAATGAGTGTTTTATTTTATTTTCATATTGTGTGGTCTACATGATTATGATTGAGTTTCACATACTCTATAATATGTATTGATGCTTTTAGCTTTCATGAACTCAGAAGAAAATTCAATTAAAAAAAATGATTATAGTCAAAATTGCAATTCAGACACTCCACCATCAACATAACTTGGAAATTAATAAGGAAAGAAATAATCTTAATAAAAAGAAAAGTCCTGTTTTAGGCCAAAGAATTTAGTGGTAAGTATCTGGTTTATGGATGATTATCTTCCTTCATACAGAGCAATACTTAGAGCAATGAAAAATAACAACTCATGTGATAATCTCGCTTTACAAGAAAAATCTGTCTATGAAAAAGTACATGCTAGATATTGTAAAACAGTTCTAGGACTCAACAAAACAGCATGCAACATTTCATCATTGTGTGAACTAGGTAGACTTCCAGTTTCTTCTTTTATTAAAACTCAAGTTATGATGTACTTTGTACGACTAAACTCTCAGAATGTAAACCCCATGATTGAAGAATCATATAATATCAATATGTCTTTGCATGAAGAGGGATTTTACTTGTGGCATACCCTCGCACTGTCTATATTTAAAGAAAATAATTTAAATAGCAATGACTACAGGAAAAAAAAATGATAAATTTGACAACATTCGAAATTCGGTTAAAAAGAAGTTGAAGAAAATAGTACTAGATAATTATAAAGGCAAAACTATGGAAAAAATACCCAAATTCACAGAAAACTCCAAACTGTATTTGTACAGTAAATTAAAACACAATCTTAATATGGAAGAATATCTTATGCTTGAAAATAGTTTCAAGAATAGACAATTACTAACCAAGTTTCGAACAAGTGACCACTGCCTACTGATTGAAACTGGTAGACATAAGAAAATACCTCGACAACAAAGATTATGCACTTCATGTAATACTATTGATGATGAATTTCATTTCTTTTTACAATGTAATTTGAATATACAAGCAAGGAATATACTTATAAAAACCATGTTAGATAATTGTTCCTCATTCTATCTCAAATCACCCATACAGAAACTTGAATATATACTTAGCCCAACAATTGAAGTTATACCGGCTGTTTTCACTTTTATAAAACAATCATTAGAATTAAGAAATAAAAGGTCCACATCGGTGCAATATATAAGGAGTGAATTACTTAAATTGCGCCTATTGTATAAATACATTCATTGTTCTTTGTTTTGTTTTTTTCTTTTCTTATTATGAATTGTATTGCTTGACCCATATGGGTGTATTATGCAATAAAGAATAATAATTATTTTGTGTTGTAGTGTAGTGAATTTTTTATCTAGTATGTTTTGGAAGAAAATATTGTCTAGACAGTGTCCAACACCTTGCATCTGGTTACCTTCAAATTTCATTGAGTTATAACTGTGTCTCATATGACTTGACATTTATAATAAATTATTGTTTCTTTTAATATATTTTCTATGTTTGCTAAATTTAAAAGCATCAATACATACATGTAGACATGATACAGTACATGAAACTCGAAACGTTTTTCCAAAATCAAGCGCACCTGAATAACATCAATAACTTTTTGAATTTTTATTGATTCACCAACATTCCCGAATGCAATCATGTCACACAATATAAAAATAAATTACAAAACAGAATTGTATATAAATCATGTAAATTACCCCCTCATGTGTGCACTGGTAACCAGTGTTATTGTTTTTATTATAATATAGTGTAGTGCTCTTTATCCCTTTTTCGAATCTATATTGCAAACAACAACTAAGGAAGAATATAACAATTTTTAATCTCAAAATCTCTGGGTTTTTTTTTTTTTTTTTTTTTAAACTTTAACATGAATCGTCACTAATTGATAATGTTGTGTGTTCAATCTTCTTCTTCTTCTTCCTTTAAATCACAAGCCACCTTTTGGTGTAATGTCGTGATTGTCACTATGTACACTTGCCCAAAGGGAAACAACGGTCTATTTACAGTACATAAAAACCATTCATGCCCCCAATTCAGAAAAAAGTACCCAGTTCACTCATATATATATATCTTATCTAATACCGGTATTTAGCTGTGCCACAATCACTTTTACTGAATACGTTCTATTTCCACTATGGAAGAGTTATACTTCTTAGTGCGCTCTTTTGTGAAAAAGTCGGAAAATGTACAAATCTCGCGGGATTTCTGGGACAAACGTAACATAAACATGTAAACAATATGTTGAATGTCGATGAACAAATCCTAAGAAAATGCTAATGTAATATTTTATTGTTGTGAACTTTATATACATCAAGAGTATGAATGACAACGATATCAATTTATATATATTGTTGATCGTATGATTCTATTTATCGTATGGTACCTCTAAATGCAATACACAGGCTTCGGAGATGTCATATTTTTTATTAATGGATGATAAATTTAGGGTTCTCGCTATCTTACATATGTCTTTTAGTTCTTCTATTCTTTAATTGAAATGACAAATACATTTAACATTTAAAATTGGATTGAGATCGGCATGTTTTGTATTATCCGCAACGCCATGCTAGCTGTCCCAGTCAGAAGACCAAACGCGCCTCTAATTTTGAAGAGTTCACTAATGGAAATATAACGTATTTCTGAGGTAATGTTAGTTAAATGGTGTCAAATACTAGAGACAAACCTGGGCAGATCGTTTTTGCTAGGCTAGAGTTCTCATGCGTTTGTGATTCGAATGATGGGTTTAATCTTTGCACAGTAATTTTCAGTCAGACGCAGCTCACCATCGCCTTTTTGAGTCAAAGAAGCCTTGCTGTACCGCTGAATAGATTTGGTTGACGAAAATCCTCGTTTTCTCCGCATTTCATTCTTTTCGAAACATCCGTTTTGTTAACATTACCGAAAAGTAAAATAAGTCGTAAAATTACCTCGACTTGTTGTTAGTTTGAATCCAAAGAAATTTTAGTCACATTTTATATGATTTTATATCAAGTATATCTTTAAAATAAGTTGCATTGTAAATTTTATTTCCAACTCTACTAAAGAGATGAACGACATAAGATTCATTTACGTCATTCGGAGTTGCGCGGTGGATTCAAAATCGTCACTACCATACGTCCTTAATTGCAGAAATAAAGATTTCAGTATATTGATAATCAAAGTACAAAGTTGATGTTCATAACTTTACTTTACAGAGTGCCCTCGTGAAACATGTCGCGGCATAGAATGCCCTGTTGATTCAAGATTAGATTACCATGCCCCTTTTTAGGGTCTAAAGTTAACACTAAAATACAACAACTTCAATTGACTATGGAACACCAGATTAACATATGAACCTATCTTCAAATAACTGTACCATCTTCAAATAATTGTACCTAATTTCAAATAATTGAATCTATCTGCAAATGAATTGAAGATAGGTACAATTGATTTAAAGATATTTCTAAATGAATTAAAGATAGGTGTAAATAATTATACCTATCTCTAAATAATTAAACCTAGGTTCAAATGAATTACACCTATCTTGAATGGAATTACACCTATCTTCAATTCATTTAAACAGGTTCATTTGAATTACACCTATCTTTAATTCATTTGAAGATAGGAACTATTGATTTAAAGATAGGTACAGTTGATTTGAAGATAGGTACAGTTGAAACATAGCCACAAAGGATTTGAAGATCGGTGCAATTCAATTAAACCTATTACCTAGGTTCAATTCGTTTTGTGTTATTGAAAACAATGAAAGCTCCCTCTAACAGCGACTTGAACACGGAGGGAACTGCACAGAGCCTTTTTATGGGGAGTAGTTTTTATCGCCAGCATCTTTATAATTAAAGATCGGTTCAATTCAATTGCACTTATCTTTAAATCAATTATACTTATCTTTAATTCATGTCATTTGTACCTATCTTCAAATGAATTAAAGTTAGGTATAACTGAATTAAACCTTTCTTTAATTCATTTGGAGATAGGTACAATTGATTTGAAGATAGGTACAATTAATTGAAGCTAGGTTCAGATATTTGAATATATGTATATATTTCCTTATATATATATTTCCTTTATATTATTATATAAAATTTGATCACCCATTGTAGTCCCAGCCTATTCCTGGAGGTTATGATTTGAACAAACTTGAATCTAAATGCACTATCTGAGGATTTTTTTTTAAATAAATATGACTAATCATGACGTTGCTCTTCCTTGGAAAAAGGTTTTTAAAGATTTTTTCAAAGTATTTCTATGTAAAATTTTGTGGTCACATCCTACCCACAGGGGTCTTGATTTGAACAAACCTGAATATCCACTACTTGTGTACGTTTTCATATAAATATTATGATCATGGCTTTGCTGTTCTTGAGAAGATTTTTTTTTACGTATTTTTTTCTATGTATTTCTATGTACAACTTCGATTGCCCATTGTACCCCCACCCTTCCCCCTGCATTTGAATAAACCTAAACACTACCTGTAAATTAAATAAGACATGTTTCCTAAGCATCGCACCTTTCTCGGCTTCAAAGACCGACAAGTACGGTCTATGTAATTCCATTGATAATGATTGTGTGTGTATTCAACTGTCCAGATAGACCAACAGAGAGGAAACGTTTAGTTTCCCCTGGTTTCATTTTCAGGGGACTTAAAATTGACTTCAAACAACAACAAAGCGCACACACGTGCACAATTAAATAATATGAGAAAAAAGGAGGGAGTCAGCTCATAACCCCAATTTTCCAAGTGCCTGTTAGGACCAAAAATTACAGTATTTTTCATACAAATTGCCATGTGTTATATTTTTCTTCATTTCAAGACAGTGCCTGCCTTTTCACTTTACTTTTTTCAAAGTTTGCAAAGAATTACTATAAAATTTTATGTCACTAAAATGGGGATATACATGTTCATGAGACTGTTATACAGAGTATGCATACCGCTAAAATGTCTATATCTTATTTAGAATTCAGCTAAGTGTCCTCTTAATCTTCCGCTAAAATGTCCATAAATTTTCCATTAAAACGTCCATTTTTTCCGCTAAAAAATGTACAAAGACGATTTTAATCTCCGTTATTACAAATTATGCCTTGATTGCATGTTTAAAAGTAACTGTACTTTTTTGAGAACTCATTTTGGGATCTATGCTTTTACAATATGCTTAAATTATCCGTATTGCAAATTGTTAGACTCTCTCCTCCATTTTTTATGGTTAATAATTCAATGTCAAGCTTCATTCATACTTTTATAAATTTTGTATTTATTGCCACCCGGTAAATTCAAAATTTTCAACATGACACTTGTGTCCCATTTCTGTTTAACACTCATAAAATAATCTTTGATATTAATGGAATTTATGCAAAATGAAAATAACGTCACATTAGAGAAAGCTTCCGTCTTTAAATATCACGTCCAACCTTGCCCGAATGCAGACACATAAATTATGTGTACACATAAATTGGGCATAAAAACTCCAAATCTATATACTTGCCTCTTATCAGATTACTTAAATTAATGGCAAGGGTGCGTACACAATGTCAAAGGTCACCTCTGGATGGAAAAGATAGGAAGAACTTCAAACTTGCCATCTCAAGTAACAAAGAGTGAAAAGATTGCAAAATTAGTATTAAAAAGCCAAAGAAACACTCGTATACACAGGAATGTCGAGAAACCATTATTTCCCTTCTCAATGTCTGATAATTTATTCGCAATTACATATTCATACGGCATCTTGATGTGCAACCCGACCGCTGTAATCAATAGAGAACAAATTGTATACAAGAATACTGAAACTGTGCACCTTAACGGTGTGATCCGGTACATCCCGCCAGTTCTCGGTGGACCAGAGAAACACCCAGTCAGTTCTCGGTGTTCCAAATGTGGTATGTGGAGACCAGAGAAACACACCCAGTCAGTTCTCGGTGGTCCAAATCTGGTATGTGGAGACCAGAGAAACGCACCAGTCAGTTCTCGGTGGTCCAAATCTGGTATGTGGAGACCAGAGAAACGCACCAGTCAGTTCTCGGTGGTCCAAATGTGGTATGTGGAGACCAGAGAAACACACCCAGTCAGTTCTCGGTGGTCCAGATCTGGTATGTGGAGACCAGAGAAACGCACCCAGTCAGTTCTCGATGGTTCTTAGATGTGGTAAATATAAAGACAGAGAAACACACTCAGTCAAATCTCGGTGATCCAGGAGTATAATATAGAGACCATGCAGAGAAAAACATCCCATCAGTTCTCGGTGGTCTACGGATGTAGTTTATAGAGACAGAGAAACACATCCGCCAGTTCTTGGTGGTCCACGAATGTTGTATAAAGAGACGGAGAAATATACCCATCAGTTCACGGTGATCCAAGAATATGAGACACACCGAGTCAGTTCCCCGTGGTCCACAGATGTGGTGATATATAGATAAGAGACCAGAGATACACTCCCAGTCAGTTCCCCGTGGTCCACAGATGTGGTATATAGAAAAGAGACCAGAGAATTACATCCAGTCAGTTCCCCATGGTCCACAGATGTGATACACATATATGTATATAGATAAGAGACCAGAGAATTACACCCAGTCAGATAGACATCCCATCAGTCTTTGGTGGTCCCGGGAAATACCTATATAGGCAATACAACACGGGAAATACTATTAAACATTTTAATGTGTCCCGTGTATGACCTTAGAAAGATTTGAAACCCTCTTTACTAACAAGAGGCCCATGGGCCACAAAGCTCACCTGAGTAACTTTGGCCTTGCTGTTTTTCACTTGATTTCCACACTTGTAGTACTTATTGTGGCCCCGCCCTATCCCAAGGGGTCATGATTTGAACAATTTAGAATCTACACTACCCCAGGATGCTTCCACTTAAGTTTCAGCTTTTCTGGCCCAGTGGTTCTTGAGAAGACGAATTTTAAAGATTTTTACTACATATTTCAATGTGAAACTTGGATTCCCTATTGTGGCCCCGCCCTATCCCGGGGGTCATGATTTAAACAATTTAGAAACTACACTACCCCAGGATGCTTCCACATAAGTTTCAGCTTTTCTGGCCCAGTGGTTCTTGAGAAGAAATTTTTTTAATGACCCCACCTTTTTTTTTTTTTTTAGCCTTTTCTTGATTATCACCCCTTGGAAGGGGCTTGGCCTTTTCTTTTAACAATTTAAACTCCCCTTCACTCAAGGTTGCTTTGTACCAAGTTTGTTTAAATTGGCCCAGTAGTTCTTGAGAAGAAGTTGAAAATGTGAAAAGTTTACAGACGGACAGACGGACAACGGGTGATCAGAAATGCTCACTTGAGCTTTCAGCTCAGGTGAGCTAAAAAGTTTTAAACACACTGAAACATGAAAGACCTTACATATATCAAGGCGTTTTTATTAAAAAAAAAACCCTTACTATGGTTATGTATTACAGATGATAGCTATGCAATTTCCGATTAAAGCAATGAAAGATTTTTTTTTGTTGGGGTAGGGGTTGCTTCTTTGCCTTTTGATTCTTCTAACAAAGAAGGTTACTAGTAAAATTCTGGCATAGCATGGAATTAGTCGATAAAAAAGACCAAGAAAAAAAATAATGTCTTAAAAGTACACATGTACATTCAATTAAATTCAAACAAACAATTTACATTGTACTTTCAGCATTACCTCCAGAGAATACTGGTACTGTACAAATTTTGGGAAGGGGCTTCAGATCACGATCTTGACGATCTGCTTAAGAATTTGCACCTAATTTTACTTCTTTGAGGTTAGAAGAGCAGAACAGCATAGACTGCACTGATGTCATCCCTCTGGGCTTTTTAAAGCCTCTGACGACATTGACTAACACTTCTCTT